CACAGAGTTCATTAGAATGCAACAACAGACACACTTAATTCTATGATAAATGCCTGAAGTCAATTTCAACTCTTCCTAACATAACACATTAAACATTTTGCTTTCCTTCCAAGTGTGATGCTATATTCTCGGTTAGAAAGTTACAATCAACATGGCTTATTTACTGGTGGCTATACATTTCAGTGATTACACAATCTTCAGAGCATATATCATACAGGACACAGACTGCTTCATATGTTACATACATTACTCAGTCTCATATACTGAGTGGTAATTATTAAATATGCTGGAATTCTCTATTATTTACATGCTGTATAACATAATATAAAACCAGTACAACAATGACACATCTTACAATATTAAGATTTTCAGTTTCTTACCTTCATTGGGGCAATGTTATTCACTGTTGGACAAACAAACATATTGCAGTAATTTCTTCTACTTGGCTAGTTACATAAACATATACCTACATGGCCCAACTTCCATGCATACTTTATATTATCTTTATCTTCCATCATTCAAAGAACATTATTTGTTTATCTGATTTGTTACATGTGCTACTTTCCTACTGCACAGTATGAAGCCCAAGTTACATGTTGCAGATACATATGAAGTCTCACTTTAAGGTTTACTTTTATGAACATGTCACTTGTAGTCAAATTAAAGTTTCTGACAACGGTATGTGAAATTGTTCTTTTATAAGCTGCCCACTGTGAGAGTTATAAAATTACAGAATTTGGGAAGCTGGATTCTGCTTCATGTAGGGAGGGGGGGAACAGAAAGCTGATCTACTGGGCACCCTAGTTGAGCTGGATCAGACCTGGACCTTGGACCTTGTTCATATTCACCATTCGGTGCCTTAGGAGGGTCCAGTCAATACCAACTTGTTCATTCTTGTGTCAATATGCAGTGTTTGACTCCGGAGAGGAGGGAAGGTGATAATATTCTTTGTAACAATTCTAGAACTAAAATATCATTCTTTAATATCATGTAAATGCTGTTACAG